ACGTTCGGCCTGCCCATCGCAAGGGTGGTTGGGGGCCTTGCCCGTCTTCGCGCGTGACCGCGCTGCGTAGCCGCCCCTCTGGGTCGGCAGCACGCATGATTCTGTGGGGCTGTGGTGGCGGGATGGAGGCACCGCCTTCCTCTGCAAGGGCGGCGGTCTCGCGGTTCAATACTCCTATCGCGCCCGCCATGGTGTCGACACAGCCCCTAAGCCAGGGGAAGAGAGGACGGGTGGAAGGGGGAGGGAGAAGGATGGAGCACGAAATAAATTAGTTGGCGGGGGGCTAGAACGGCTAGGAGAAGAAAGCACGTGGCAGAACAAGACGGGGAAATCTTGCGGACAGACCCTAGCGGGCGGGTCGGGAAGGCGGGCCCAGGCGGCCAGGTCGAGAAGGCGGGTTGAATCACGAGGAAGTCTCGAGCGATAGCGAGATCCCCAAGTAAACCGTGAGGAACGCCAAAGCGAGAGCGTGATTCCTGAGTGTCGAGGGGGCGGCGTAAGAGTCGGCGTATGAGCTTGTTTTTTTATTGCTCGGACCCGTAACGCCCGTTACGGGGGGGGTTCCCCCCCCCCGTAACGGTAACGTAACGATCGTACGGGGACGGGGGTGCGGACCCCCTCTCCGTCCAGGCAGGCATGCTGTGACGCTCACATGTGTGCTCAGGTTCGAGGTTCGAGGTTCGAACCTCGGCGCAAACTCAAAATGGGTCCACGGGGCCCGACTGGGGCTCAGACGCACCAGTTTCCCGAGCCGCGTCCAGCCGCGGCGACGACGAAGGCCCTCGAGGGCCAGGATGCCTCGATCCTCGAGGTTCGAGGTTCGCATCCCTCGGCGCGAACCTTTCAACGGGTTCCGGCCTGGTCCCTCCACCTCCTTTGCCTTGCTTCTGCACTCCCTCCAGTGCTCGTGCCCTCCACCTCCTCTCACCTCCTGGGGGGAGGGGGGAGCGAGGCAGAGGGAGGAGGAGGAGGAGGAGGATGAGGAGGACGAGGAGGACGAGGAGGGTTGGAACAAAATCGGAGGAGGAGGTGATGGGGGATCGGAGGAGGGGCATGAGGAGGAGGAGGGGGCAGAAGAGGAGGAGGAGGAGGAGGAGGAGGAGGAGGAGGAGGAGGAGGAGGAGGAGGAGGAGGAGGAGGAGGGAGGATCGGAGGGGGATCGGAGGAGGAGGGGGGTCATCTTGCGGGCAGTGCCAACGGGCACTGCGCTTTAGCACTTGATCGGCGGTATGGCGCGCCACAGGTGCTACAGAATGGTCGTCGTCATCCTTGCCGCGTCCGTTGTCATTATCGTGCGGGCTGTTCCCGGAGTCCCGACGCCCGCCTGCCAGCACGACGTTTCCCCGAACAGTGCGCGCACCAGGAGTTCCGTTGAAACGCAGCGCCACAAAGTGGCCCCGCCTTTGGCGCAACCTGTGGCGCAACCATCGACGCAACCTATGGCACACCCTGAGGGCGCAACCTAAGGCGCAACGTAAGGCGCGATTTGTGGGGCGCCCTGGGTGCGCAACCTCTGGCGCAAGCTATGGCACGCCCTGGGGGCGCATCTCATGGCGCAGCTCAGGCTCAACCTATGGCGCAGGTAATTGTACGCAAGCGCAACGTGTGGTGTAACGCATCGGGCAAGCCATGGCGCAACCAGCCGGTGCGCTCTCACAATATCATTATGACTAGTACCACTGTCCTCCCTCCATTCTCCCTGTGCTGGTGCAAGGGGCTGGACTGGGCGAGACCTGCACGCGGATGTGGCCGCATGTCCTTCCAGCGCTCGGCCTTCCTACCTCGCGCGGCTGGTCACGCCAGCCCCCCGCATGTGTATCCAGCAAGTGGGCCCCAAACGCTGCCGAAGCTTTCGGCAACAGACTGCGAACACGGCGGCGGCGGCGGCGACGGCGACGGCGGCATCGGCGGCGACGACGACGGCGGTGACGGCGGCGGCGGTCACCTTCACCGTCGCCGCCGCCGCTTGCCGCCGTCGGCGTCGTCGCCGTCGCCGCCACCGTCGTCGTCGTCGTCGTCGTCGTCGTCGTGGTCGCCGTCGCCGCCGCCCGTGTCGCCGCCGCCGCCGTCGCCCCCCCGGTCTTCGTCGCAACTAACGGCGACGACGACGACGCACCCGCGTGCGCGCTCCAGCCGTCGACCCATGTCTCAAGGGCCTTGTGCTTGTGCAGGGAGGGAACTCCTGCTTCCTGTATTCCCTAGGCTGCCGCCGCCCCGCGCGCCCCCACGGCGCGTGGTTTACACTCCGCACAAGAAAAAACCGTACACAAGCTTTGTGATGCACATGCCATGTGGTATACACAGGCGCCACGGTTCACACTCCCATGATGTACACAGTCGCAATGGAGTGCGCAGGCGCTGTGGGCTCAACAGGTCCGAGCGCTTTTTGAACCAGACAAACTAATATCCACAACCAGCTCACATAATGAAAGGGCCACGGTTGGGCCCCGAGCGATCTTCTGGACTTTCGCTCCGCCGGTACCTTACAGGTGTACACAAGCTTTGTGGTGTACGCTGGCATTTTGGTGCAAACGCGGGGCGTTGAAACAGCAGTTGTGGTGCACGCGGGCGCCGTGGTGTGCACCAACAGTGAGATGTACAAAGGTGCTGTGGTGCACCCGCCTGTCATGATGTGCTCGGTCGCCGTGGTGCACACACATACCATTTCTGCCGCACTTGTGGTGTACAAAGGTATCGCGGCGTACAGAGCCTGTGTAGTGTGCGCAGGCACGGTCGGCTTCGACGACGACAGCGGCGACGACGACGACGACGAAGCCTACCGTGCCGACAGTTGTGCTGGTAATAAGTACCAGGGCCCGTGCGAGGGCCCCGCCGTGCGTTACCGTTACCCCCAACGTCGGGCCGGACCCCCCCCCACCCCCGTAATGGGCGTTACCCCCCCCTATAAAAAAACAAGCTCTATCATAAGTTGTGAGGAAGTGTCCCGCGGAAACCTTTGTAATTGTAGTTCAGGGCCCAATAGTTTGATCACGGAACATCCCCCGACAAAAACACGGGTGCTACCCCTGAGGGGACACTATATTTGAAAAGTACAATGCGCACCAGTGATGGTGGGCCAACAGTCATTTTTCTTCAAGAATGAAGGTTCAGCAAAAACAGGTAAACAAAACGACAACAACAGCAATCCGCACCCCAGAGCCCCACTTCAGCTTCGACCCCCGTTCCCCATATGTATATGTGTATATGTGTGTAAACGCAATTCTAGGTATGTATGGATGCGTGTTGGCATGTATGTATTTACGTGCATACGTATATACATACATATGTGTGCGTATTAATGTATGCATGTAGGTATGCATGTACGTACGTAGGTACGTATGTAATTTCTGCACGTGTGGATTCATGTCTGCATGTAGTATATATGTACATATGTATGTATGTATACATGTGTGTTTATATGCACGTATACATACGCATGTATGTATATGGATACATGCATACGTGTATGCACGTAGGCATCTACATTTTATTGACGTTTGCTTTCATGTTTGTATGCGTGGTTATATGTATGCATGCATGTGCGTGTATGCATGCATGCTTGTACGATCGTATGCATCTAAGCATAAACTAGATGTGTGCATGCACCAAGCGCTAGCATGAATGTGTGCATGCATGTATGCATGTATGTATGCATGTAAGTACGTACGCATGTATGTGCTTATGTATGCATGTATGCATGTATATATATATATATGTATATGTATGCGTATATGTAGATGTGCATGCATGCGCGTATGCATGCATACATGCATGTATGTGTGCATGTATGCGTGTATGTGTGTATGTGTGCATGCATGTATGCATGCACGCATACATGCATGCATGCGTGCAGGCGGCATGTATGTGTGTATGTACGTATGTATGTATGTATGTCTGTATTTATGTATGACTGAATGTACGTGTGCATGAATGCACGTACATCGGCATGTATGCATGTACGCCTGTATGTACGGATGTGCTGATTTATGTATACATGTATCTAGCCACGTGAGTGTTATGTATGTATGTCTGTCTGTATGCAATTATGCGTATGTATGTGTGTATATATGCATACATGTATGCATGTATGTATACATGTGTGTATGCATGCATGTCTGAATGTTTGTATTTGTGTATGTATGAATGTATGCATGCATGGATGTATGTATGTATGTACGTATGTATGTACGTATGTATGTATGCATGCATGCATGCGTGTATGTATGTATGTATGTGTGCATGCATGTGTTACATGCATGTATGTAGGGTTGCATACAGTCATGCATGCATGTCTGTCTGTCTGTACGTATGTATGTATGTATTCATGTCTGCACGATGTATGTATGTATGAATGTATGCATGCATGTATGTATTTATGTATGTATGTATGTATGTATGTATGTATGTATGTATGTATGTATGTATGTATGTATGTATTTGTAATGCAAAAGCGATTGGTTAGTTTCCAAGGTCCTCGTCAAGGTCGAGGACTGAGGACACGTCTACAGTAGGGGTAGTCTTCTCGTGTCAGCGCAGTTTGCATCCGTAAATGGTTCGTGCTTCTACCTCTGCTTCGCCCGTCCCCTCTCTCAGCATCGTCTGACATGTCCCCATCCCCAGTGGGAACTCCTTGGCCCTCGCTGGCCGACCTGCCCTCCTGAGTGGGGACACGTGCCGTCTCCGCTAGTTTTGGTTTCATCCACCCCTCTTCACCTCGAGGGGGTTGGTGGTGCTGAGGATCCTCCAGTGGGGATGGAATAGGGGATCGACTACAGAGTTGATTTACTCCAAGATTGATTTTCCCGTCGAGTTTACAAAGAACACGTAGAATGTGCGTATGTCAACGGGGCATTCTATTGCTTCTTCGTGGATCCGGCGGGGGAATCAACTCTGGGGTAAATCAATAATATGGTCGATCCCCTACTCGAGGGGATGGGGATAGGCCAGACGGTGCTACCTCTCTCTCGCCCCGTCTCTGTCTTTGCAGATCTCTGGCGCAGGACCGGGGCGCGAATGCCGGGTTCAAGGTCGAGGACCTCTGCGAGGCCCGCCGCTCGCGCGGCCGCCGTCGCTGACGACGGCGACGACGAATGCGAAGTCGATGATGATAAATGCGGTTGCCGGCGAAGGCGGCGTGGGTTCAGCCGCCGCTCGGTCGCGGTGTCGGCGCCGCCGCGCCGCAGATTTCGTGGCTGTTCTGCGTGATGCAGTCCTACCACGAGCCAGTCTTCAGGACCGCGGCCCCCCCACCCCCACCCCCAGAGGCGCTTGCGGCACGCGGCAGGGGCCTGGCCATGGGGGCGCGGCCTTCTCGGCAGGCCTCCCGCCTCTTCGAAGGCGTGCGAGGTGTCGCTTCTGAGGGGGGCGGGGCCCTTCTGGGAAGCCCCGTGCCTGCTCAGAATCAGGAGGGGAAAAAACACAGACACAATTAATCGTCCACTCCCAGGAAAATATGGGAAAATATGGGAAGTGGGGGGGAAGACAGAAACCCAGAAAACATGGGAAAATATGGGGAATTCCGTTATTTGTGTGTATTTATTTGTGTATCCTGGGGCCCCTTCATTCTTGGAAGCCCCGTGCCTGCTCAGAAGGCCGACCACCCTCGCCCTGTGGCCGCCCGCCCCCGCAGCCTGCCGCCGAACCGGGGCGCGCGGCTGCCCGGGTCTGCCTCTCTTGCGCTCACCCTTTCTCGCTCTGCCTCCCCCCCGCTCCGCCCTTTTCTCTCACGTTCTTCTCCTATCGCACGGTCTCTCCTCTCTCTCTCTCTCTCTCTTCTCTCCCTCTCTCCCTCTCGCCCTCCGTGTCTTTTTATTTGATTGTTTGTTGTTATATTTATGTATCAGTATATGTCTCTATATGTTTGTATAGATGTCTCTCTCTCGCTCCCTCTCTCTCTCTCTCGTTATCTCGTCTTCCTCTCTTGATGTTTCTTCTTATGTTTGTTTGTGTTTCCTTTTAACTTCTATCTTGTGTCCTTTATCTCTACCATCCGCCCTTCCTTTTTTGTTTATCTCTCTCTCTCTCTCCCTTGTTTTTTTGTTATTTCTCTCTCTCTCTCTTGGCATGTATGTACATACAAGTATCTTTCCTAGCGCGGAGGCCGTTGGTGACTACACCAAGCCCACATTTGCCGCCTTTCGTCCTGTCAGGCGCAGCTAGCTGTGATTCTGGAATGTCGTGGCGGGATGTGCATGGCCACCCTCGAGTAACAGGCCATCGCGTCAAGGGGTCGCTCCTGTGCATGCCCCGCGCGTCCCAGCGCGTTGCTTTCCACCGCATCCCATCCCCCCGGGCCGATACTGGCTCTCTCCCCGGCGTCAAGCAGGGTCCCCACGTGTACGATCCACGTGCTTGGCTTGCACCGTAGAGGCAAGGGCCCGCCTCACTGAAAGGGCGCGCGGTCTGCTCCACAGCTCCATGGTCGGCGTCGATCACACCCAACAGCGCACAGTCCGCGCTGCTTTCTCGGCGGATGACTCCCCGATGTGTGGGTGCCGATGGTGTGTGTGTGTGTGTGACCAGTAAGAGAGAGAGTGAGAGAGAGAGGTAAGCACACCGTGCGCTACTGCCCGTGCTGGGCCCGGCATCGACGCGCCCTTCTGCGTGGGAGCGCCTCCCGCCGCACACGCGACACTGCGGCCTGGTCGACGAGGCCCCATGTCTTCTGACCTGTAGCGTGACCTCGGTCATGGCCCGCCGCAGCCGCGGCCGCGGCCGCGCCTAGCGTCGGACGAGGGCCCTGGCGTCTACTTCGATTGCGCAGACCTAATCACAGGACCTGCGTGGGTATTCGCGGCCACGCACGGGGCTTGCGTCGGCCAGGCCCACTCGCTCCTGTCTGCAATACGGCGGGCAGCGGGATCTTCTACGGGTTTCTGGCCTCGGCCAAGCTGCGCTGATCGGCGTCACGGCCCCGCGCAGCACGCCCAACGCGCCGAGCCCCGTGCGCTTTCGCACCCCGTGGCCGTGGCCGAACCGCCTGCGCCTGGCTTCACTGACAGCTGGGCCGTGGTGGGCGAGCTCGCCCTCCTCCCCGAGGGCCGTCCCGCTCCCGACGGGCCCCCCGCGCGGACGCCTGGCTGGCAGTGCGCCAAGGCCGTCCGCGCCGAGGACCTCGCGACCGCTTCCGCGCGGAGAGTGTCGCGAGCCGTCTCGCGCAGGACGGCGTCGACCACGGCGCTGTCGGTGCTCCGGCCGAGCGGTCAACTGCGAGACAGGCGATCTGGCGACGCAGGCAGTTCTCCGTCGCCCTGCGGCGCAGGACGGCGTCGACCAGGGCACTATCGGTGTCCTCTGGCCGAGTGTGCAACGGCGAGACCGGCGATCTGGCGACGCAGGCAGTTCTCCGTCGCCCTGCGGCGCAAAGTCGCCGCCCTCCTCCGTCGCGCCGGTCACGATCCACTTTGATCTGCGATGCCGCGCGCTTCCCCCGCAGCCTCGACGGGCGGACTGCTTCCCGGAGCACCTCGCTGCCATGCAGTCCTCTTGGACCCCCCAAGAGCCCCAAGTTGTTTTTCCTGCGCTTCGAGGCTCAGAAGGGCTCGGTAGAGAGTGGTCGACGGAAGTGGTGCGACTCCAGGGTGGGTGGGCTAGGAGGGTCACCTTATAATGTAAAGAATGCAATGTGTAGCAATTCTACAAACATCTGATGTTCGGGATCTGTTGAAGCAGGGCTTCTGCTCCGCTCCGCGCCCTGCCTCCAGCAGCACGTTCCCTCGGGACGTGGATTCCTCTCGCTTCGCGGGGTGCACGTTCGGAGCACGTCAAGACTGGGCGTCGAGTGGTTTGCCCTGCTCGTGTGCCGCGAAGTTCTGCCGTGTCGTTCTGCCCGCCCTGGGGCGTCGTCAGCGCCACGGGGTTCGCATGCGCCCCCCCCCCATCCCGTTTCAGTGCCGGGACGAGCGTGCGAATGTCCACGAAGGCACAGCATCCACTGCGTGTCAGCACATTGCACTGCCAAGTCCCAGCTCCAGTGACCATAGCAACAACGCACCATTCGTACACAATTCCGCGGGTCTCTTGCTGGTTTTTTAGGGCCGTTTGTTTTTTTTGGAGGGCCTGACTTGGGGGCTTGGGGGCCTGGGGGCCTCTTTGGGGCCCTTTGGGGCCTCTTTGGGGCCTTTAAGGGGCCTCTTAGGAGCATCTTGGGGGCCGCTTTGGCAATCTTGTGGCGCTGTTGCGCAGTCTGGCCCCTTCTGAGGTTATCTTGGGTGCCTCTCGGGGTCCCCTTGTGGCTCTCTTGGGGTCCTTTTGGGCCGTGAGCCTCTTGAGCCGTCTTTGGGGCCTCTCTGGGCCCTCTTGGGCCGTCTTGGGGCCCTCTGGGGGGTCGCTGGGGCCGTCTTGGGGCCATCTTGGAGCTGCTGGGGCCGTCGTAGGCCCCCGAGGTTCGAAACAGGCGAGAAAGCGAATATTTGTTGAAACCTCCTAAGGTCAAATCATGCTTTTGGCCTCTGGAGGTGCTCTTGGGGGAGCCCTTGGGGCCCTCTGGGGCAGTCTTGGGGGCATATTGGGCCCTCTCGGGGCCATCTTGGGCCGTCTTGGGGCAGTCTTGTCCCGTCTTGAGGCAGTCTTGAGCCGTTATGAGGCCCTGTTGGACCCCAAGTGGCCCAAGCGGCCCACATCATTCATTTGTTACATAGATTTTTTGACGTTTTTGACCCCCAGAGGGGTCCGCCATACTTGGGTCTACGGATGTGGTGTTACTTTGGTGGGGGATGGGGGATTACAGTATGATATCGCGTAATGGCATGGAACTTGATGTGTGATGAGAAGTATGAACTGACACACAGGACATACTCAACCATTTTAGCATTCGCGCTGAAAACGCTGCCGCCCAGTACGTCACCCGCGGACGTAGATTCCTCTCGCTTTGCGGGGTGCACGTCTGGAGCACGTCAAAACTGGGCGTCGGATGGTTTGCCCTGCTCGTGAGCCGGGAAGTTCTGCAGTGTCGTTCTGCCCGCCATAGGGGCGATGTTGGCGCCACGGGGTGCGGATGCGCCGCCCTCCGTCTCAACACCAGGACGAACGTGCGAGTGGTCACGAGGGCAATGGGCATGCAGCGTGTCAGCACAAGGCAACGCCGTGTTCAAATCCCAATGGGCATAGTGGCGACGCGTCATTCGTATTCAGTTCCGCGAATGTTCTTGGTGGTTTCTTGGGGCCAGGTGGAACTCGTGGGGGCTAACACCCCGAATTGCAAGTGTGGGGGGGGTGAACTAGCTGGACCCCCCCTGCAACCGACGACGGCTGGGGCCGGCGCCGGCGCCGTCGAGCAGTGACGACGATCTCGACGGCGACGACGACGAGGACGACGACGACGACCACGATGACGACGACCACGACGATGACGACGACGACGACGACGACGACGACGACGACGACGACGACGACGACGACGACGACGACGACGACGACGACGACGACGACGACGACGACGACGACGACGACGACGACGACGACGACGACGACGACGACGACGACGACTATTGCTCGCCCGCAAGCTTGCTCGAGCGGTGCGAGCGAGCGAGCAAGCAAGCGAGCACGATGCATCTAATGTTCCTCAGATCCGACCCTCCCGACTCGCTCGCTCGGCCGACTGCTCGAGCGAGCGAGCGAGCAAGCGAAAACCATGCAGTATAGTGTCCCACCCACCCGACCGGACCCGCCTGACTCTCTCGCTCGCTTGCTCGAGCGAGCGAGCGAGCGAGAGGACCGACTCCCTCTTTCGCTCTTTCCCTCGCTCGCTCGCATGCTTGCCCCAGCGAGCCAGGAAGCGAGCATCATGGATTTATGACCCGCCCAAACCGAACCGCCCGACTCGCTCGCTCGCCCGCACGCTTGCTCGAGCGGGCGAGCGAGAGAGCAAGCGAGGACCAAGCATTTCAGGCCCGGCCCGCCCGACCAGGCTCGCCCGACTCGCTCGCTCGCTCGCTTGGTTGAGCGAGCGAGCGAGCAGGCGAAAAGCCCGCCTGATCCGACCCGCCCGATTCCTTCGCTTGCTTGCTCGAGCGAGTGCACGAGAGGACCGACCCCCCCTCCTTTCCTTGCTCGCTCGCTTGCACGCTTGCTCGAGCTAGCGAGCGAGCGGGCGAGCACCGTGCATTTGATGTCCCGCCCGACCCGACCCGCCCGACTCGCCTGTTGGCTCGCTTTCCCGAGCTAGTGTGCGAGCCAGCGAGCAAGCGAACACCATGCCCTTAATGACCCTCCCGCCCGACACGACCCGCCCGACTCTCTCGCTCGCTTGCTCGAGCGATCGAGCGAGCGAGCAAGCGAGAACCGTCGAGCCTCATCAGGATTAAAAGTATGTCTGGATCCTGCTATAGCTCAATTGGGGTCTATCAGGTATTAGGGGTGTGGGGGGGGCCTCCGGTTCGAATGCCCTCCCCCGCTGGACAGGAGGGGTGCCTTCGGCCCCCCCTGGTTCGAACCCTCCCCTGTGCAACTCAGGCAGGGGGGGGGCCCAGTTCGACCCCCCCCGCTTGGACAGGGGGGGGGCGGCGGTTCGAACCCAGACCAATCCCAACCGACTGGGACCAATCACAACCGACCGGGCCACGTCTCAGCCGGCCAAGTAACCAGCTGGTACCAATTATAACCAGCCATTTCGGGCCAGCACTCGGATTCCTTTTGCACAGCATTTTACGACGATTCAGACACACATGAACGTCTTAACGGTGCACATTAATTCTGGGAGTCAACATGGGTGCCCCGGTTGAAGTTGGTACCAGTTTACTTTTCGGGAACTGGGAGTTGTGCTGTTTGGCAAAAACAACTCACAACGACACATATCACCTTAAAGCAACAACATACATTCAACACAACAGCATACATCCACAACACATACCCACTCACCTCCCTCGACAACGCATTTCGAAATCACGACGTATCATCCTCGTTGTCCTCGGCCGTTATTTCCTTCCTCCTTTCCTGCCTCTTTACTCCTTCTTCCTCCTCCTCATCCTCATCTTCCTCGTGCCGCATTCCTCGTCTTTATCTTTTTCCCCTCCTGCTTCTCTCTTTTTCCTCATCCTTCTCACCTTCGTTCTCCTCCTCCTTTTCCTCCTTATCTGCCTCCTCCTCCTCCTCCTCTACCTCTTCTTCCTCTCCCTCCTCCTTCTCGTCATCGTCGTCGTCCTCCTCTTCTTCTTACTCCCAAGCTGGTCCGAGGAGGTCTCGCATGGCTCAAAACAGTTTCGACATCGATCAAGATGGCTGAGCATGGCCGAGGATACCTCCCGACAGCCTCTAGTCGAGCAGGGCCGAACAGGGCCGAAACACGACTCGGCGACGGCGGCGGGGGGCAGGGCGACTCGTTCGGCCACGCTCCCGCCCCCCCCATGGGTTCGGGGGTCCCCTGGACCCCCGAGGGCACGAGAAGTTTCCACTGGAAGCGGCGCCCTCGGAGCCAGGGAAACTCCCGCGCCCGCAGGAGAAGGGGGCGGGGGCCGAGCGACTTGGCGGCGGCGGCGGAAGGCAAAACGAGTCGTTCGGCCACGCTCTCCCGCCCCTCGGGGTTCGGGGGCCCCCCGAGACCCCGAGGGCACGAAACGCTTCTATTGGAAGCGTCGCCCTCTGGGGTTTGGGGGATCCCGCGCCCTTGAGAAAGGAGGCGGGGACTGAACGACTCGGCGGCGGCGGCGGCGGCGGGGTTCAGGGCGATTCGGTCGGCTACGCCCGCGGGATCGGGGGTCCTCCCGAAACCCTGAGGGCACGAGGCGCTTCCATTGGAAGCGGCGCCCTCGGAGCCACGGGAACTCCCGCGCCCGCAGAAAGGAGGCGGGGGCCGAACGACTCGGCGGCGGCAGCAGAGGTCAACGTGAATTGTTCGGCCTCGCGTTCCCCCCCTGGGTTCCGGGGCCCCCGGGGCCCCCGAAGGCACGAGGCGTTGCCATTGGAAGAGTCGCCCGCGGGGGCCTGGGGGACCCCGCGCTCGCGGGAAAGGCAGCGGGGGCCGAACGACCCGGCGGCGGCGGCGGAGAGGGAACACCGTTTGGGTGCGGGCGCTCTGTCGGCAATGTGCTTTGTGTCGAGCCACTGAGGAGCCTCTAAGGAACCTCTAAGGGTCCTCTTAGGAGCCTCATAGGAGCCTGTGAGCAGCCCCTTAAGGAACCTCTAAGGAACCTCTGCTAAGGAACCTCTAAGAACTTCAGCCTCCAAAGAAACTTAACGGAACTTCTAGGGAGCCTCTAAGGAGCTTCTCAGGAGCTTTGAAGGAACCATTAAAGGGGCCTCCTAAGGAAACTCCAAGGAGCCTGCAACACGAACCTCCAAGGAACCTCGAAGAAAACTTCACGGAGCCTGCAACAGGAACTCTGGCGACCCTATTACACACAAGCATTCAAACCACTTGCACACAGGATTGGGGCCAGAATGTTTGGAATCCGTCCCAGTTGGTGGTCATTTCTCTCATTTTCGGTTCGAACCCCCCCTGTGGAAGGGAAGGGGGGGCGCTGGTTATGTATGCTGGTGTCCATGGGGGAGGTCCTGGTCTTCCAGGGGCGTTCAATTTTTTTTGGGGGGCTCCAATGTGTCAAGGTTTTTGGTTGTGCAAGCGTCCACCGAACGTGTATTCTCCAATGTACGAACCCCCCCTTTTCTGATTATGCTACACATGATGGGGTCGCACCACGCGGACACATCTTATTCAGCGCAGTGGGGAGGGACGGGTGGGAGGGGTAGGATGTCAGACATCTTGCGAGTGCACCGCACCTGTCTTGCCTGTCTTTTCTCTCCGCCCTCCCGCTCTTACTGTTCCCCCAACCATTCCTCTGATGTTTCCTTCGCCCGACCGTCGACCACACCGTAGTTGTTGCTCACCCATGCTACCTACTACCTCCTCGCATCATTGCGTCCTCCTTCCGCCCGTTCCCGCATTTCTCCCTCCTCCCCATTTCCGTTCTTCATCCTTCGCTCCTCGTCCGTTCTCTCCTTTTCGTTCTGTTCTCGCCCCTCGTATTCCCCCTTCCGTACTCCGTATTCCCTCGCCCTCTTTGTTCTCGTTTTTTTTTTTTTTTTGTGTGTATGTGTGTGTGTGTATTTGCGTGTGTGTGTCTCTCTCTCTCTCTCTCTTTCTCTCTCTCTCTCGCTCTCTCTCTCTCTCTCTCTCTATATATATATATATATCACTCTCTCTCTCTTTTTCCCTCTTTTTTCCTCTTTCCAGCCTTGTACCTCCTGTCTCCTCCCTCCACCCTCTGATATCCCCCATCTCTCCTCCATCCGCTTCTCCCCGATCACAAGGCTGATGTTCCACCAGCTCGGGCAGCACCCGAAGGTTTCCGCGGACGCGCTCTGCATGCTCCTCCGACCAGCCCAAAACGGAGCGTTACCAGCGCCAACCGCGGGATCACTATTGGAACAGGGCGTCGACCGACTGGATCGGCTGCCAGAGAGGCCAGCGTTGTCCTCGATCGTGCATCGGGGCGATGAAGAAGAAAGACTCGGGCACAACACAACACATCCCGGCCTTCGGCCTACTTCTATGGCCGGGAAAGCAGAAGGGAAAGGAAGAGCAGCAGGAAAGAAGGAGCAGGAGGAGAAGTCATGAGTGAGGAGGGGTGTGAGGTGAGAGGGGGTGGGAGCTAGAGGGGGGATGTGAGGCGAGTGAACACTGAGGCGAGTGTGGAGGGATTGCAGGGATTACAGCCATCGCGTAGCGATAAAACATACACGAGTAACGCCCCCTGACTTTGAACACCAGCTGGAGGACACTGAACACGGGAGCGCCCGAACTGGAGGATCAACTTCACGAAGATTGCATGCCACCACTGTGGAGACCGTAGCGCCCACCTGACTGCAGTACACACCACCCCAACGGCGAAAAGTGTCATGCCACTGTACCGTAGAAGAGATCACCCAGGAAATGCCTTCACCTCAATGACTGATCGAACAACTTCATGTCTCCGCACGGGAAGCTGCCCACCATAACGTAACATGCATTATGCGAAACACGCGCAATTGACAGGACGAGACAGGAAGCCCACGCAGAATGCCTATGCATGTGCGAAACTGCAGCGCCGCATCCTCATCGCGAAAAACACATCCCAAACCGCCAGCGAACGCAGACCCCACCAAACTTAAATAGTACGACGTGGCACTACGCACGGTACAGAAAACGTTAGAAACCAATTGACCAAACACAATGAGAATACGTGCCAGCCTTTTTGCACGCCCATTTGCTACCAGCGGCAACATACATCACGCCACCAGAAAACAGACTACAATACCCTCCCCTGGCGGAAACGGGATATGCCTGCACTGAAACAGATGATGTGTGTCCCCAGCTTGAACGCCCCCAAAGAGCACAAGAAGTATACCCCCTTGCAGTGGTGACAAAATGCCAAACGTAAGCATACAGGAGAACACCAGAGCATTGAATACGCGGAAATGCCCTACAATACCACAGGCGGTGTAGATGCGTAAAGCTGGAATTTGCACAGGAAGGACACGGCGAAAAGCAATTACCAGACCCGCCCAAATAAAATGAAGTACGAAGAACACTATGGGCGAGGTGCCAAGCTGCCAGAGCCGTGGGCCACGCTCCAAAAGTGAGCGTACTAACAGCCCTGCTTGCCATGAGACATTGAACAAGATGTTTGGGAGAAGTGCTCTCAAGAACCAATAGAGAACCCATACGCTGAGAGAGTGACCAACCTGCCACTGCATACTCTGTCAAACAAGCAATACACGCGAATTGTGAAGATGCGACTGGCCACTGTCCTGCGCAAACACAATACACCTTCTGAACATTGTATTTTAGTTCTCCCATTCTAGCCATTCCACGCCAATCGCCGCCAGTAGCCACTGAGAAATGCGACGAGCAATACAGTTGATCATTTCGTGGGAGCCCCCCCACGCGCCAACGAGAAGGCACTGGGCTTGGCGCCCCATAGCAAGTTCGAGCCCAATGCCTCGGGCCACCCGTGCTTGAGCTGAGGCGAGTGTGGAGTAGATGGCGGAGGGAAGGGGGAGAGCATCATGGGTGGGGGAGGGGGACAGGGAGTGTGAGTCGGAAGGGGGAAGGGAAAAGGGGACAGGCCGAAGGGGAGAAGGTGGAGGGTGCCTGGGGTGGAGGCTCTACGAGAGCCACCTGGTGCTGGACACCGAGTTCAAGGCAAACTACACAAAGTACCGGCTCAGTGACGACCACCTGTCGAAGCCGCGCCGCGCCCGCCGCTCGCGTCCGTGCGGCAGGAAGAAGCGTCGGCGCCAGCAGCCGTTGTGGGGCTGGTGGCGGCAGGAGGAGTGGGGAGTTATTCCTGGAGGGAGTGGAGAAGCCGTTACGTCCGCGCGATGGCGTTTGAGAATTCTCGGCCTATGCGATCGCTCACTGTGCCCCGGGGACCGTCAACAGATGACTCAAGACGAACAGTAGGTCGCGTTGTGAAAGCAGCGCGACGCAGGATAGCTGGGAAGGAAAAAGGTGGGATGGATCAGGAAGGGGACGAGGGGCGGGAGGGGAGGAAGGGAATGGGGAGGGAGGGGGGAGAAGGAGAGTGGGAGACGCGAGGGAGGGAGGGAGCGAGGAGGGAAGAGGGGAAGGGCTGTGAAACTTGCCATTCGTCGGCGTGTGGTCCGTTCCCTCAGTGGCCCCATGTACGCAGGTGTGTCCTGTGAGGCAGGCGGGGGCCGAGCGGCGACCGCCTTCTCCCGCCTCCTGCATCCGCCTCCTTCCCTCTTGCCTCCTGTCTCTTCCCCCCTCCCTGCCCTCCTCCCTTCCACCCTCCTCCCTCTCCCCCCTCCGCCTCGCTCCCTCCCCCCCTCCTGCCTTCGCCCTCCCCCTCCCTGCTCCCTGCTCCCTCCCTCCCTCTCCCTCCTCGCCAGGCCCTCCCTTCGCCACCCTCCCTGCTTCGCCCGCGGCGGTCACGTGCGCCCCACCTCTGCCCTCGCTTTTCCCCCGACGAGGAGGAGGAGGAGGAGGAGGAGGAGGAGGAGGAGGAGGAGGAGGAGGAGGAGGAGGAGGAGGAGGAGGAGGAGGAGGAGGAGGAGGTGGAGGAGGAGGAGGAGGAGGAGGAGGAGGAGGAGGAGGAGGAGGAGGAGGAGGAGGAGGAGGAGGAGGAGGAGGAGGAGGAGGAGGAGGAGGAGGAGGAGGAGGAGGAGAGGAGGAGGAGGAGGAGGAGGAGGAGGAAAAAGGAAAAAAGAGGAGGAGGAGGAAGAGGAGGAGGAGGAGGAGGAGGAGGAGGAGGAGGAGGAGGAGGAGGAGGAGGAGGTCGTCCTTCCCCCCGCGCGCGCAGGCTGCGGGACCACTACACCAAGAACCGCCTGGACTCCCGGCGGTGCACGGACAAGTGCCGCAACGACGTGGTGGCCGTTCTGAAGTCGCCCTTCCCTTGCGCGCGGGAGCGGCCGCGGGGGCGGGAGGGAGGGAGGGAGAAGGGGGAGGGAGGGAGGGAGAGGGGGAGGGAGGAAGAGGAGGAGGAGGAGGAGGAGGAGGAGGAGGAGGAGGAGGAGGAGGAGGAGGAGGAGGAGGAGGAGGAGGAGGAGGAGGAGGAGGACTAGAATCAAATCGTTCCAGTAAGGTGTGAGGACCTCGGCCTTTGCCCTTCTCTTCCTCCTCCGACGGCGGTCGCGCCGTCGGGCGTGCGGAGGCGCCCCAGGGGGTTGACCCCTTCAGGCGCGTCAAATAGCGGGAAATAGCGGGACCAGAGTCAACAAAAGATATGCACCAGCGCTGTTGCAACACACCCTCCCGTCCCAAGTGCTCTCCTCACGCGTCCCTACAAGTCTTCCTCTTCATTGCAAGAAGGGTCCCCCCTCTGAAAGACCAGCGCGGTTGGGCCTGCCAGTTTGGCGAGGGCCCCGCTATGATAAGGAATTCCCTTGCATCTCATCGTCGCTTGACGAAGACCGCGTATTGAAATGAGGTGTCCGGCAGTATCCCCCCTTTCGCACAAGGGCCGCCCCCAATCCGTGCAGCTGCTGCACTTGTTTTACTCCCGTCGCCAGGGCTTCCGAGGAAGTCTCACCGTCGCTTGACGAAGACCGTGTATTGAAAGGAGGTGTCCGGCATTGTCCCCCCTGTCGCGCAAGGGCCGCCCCCAGTCCGTGCAGCTGCTGCACTTGTTTTACTCCCGTCGCCAGGGCTTCCGAGGAAGCCTCATCGTCGCTTGACGAAGACCGTGTATTGAAAGGAGGTGTCCGGCATTATCCCCCCTGTCGTGCAAGGGCCGCCCCCAGTCCGTGCAGCTGCTGCACCAGGGGTGGACCTAAGCGGTGTTTTGGCGGTTTCGTGGGCCCTTTTCGTTTCGATTTCGTTTTGCGTTAAAGGCGGATTGAAGACCCAACGAGGGAAAACGGAAAACGAAACGAAAACGAAAAACACCGTTTAGGTTCAGCCCTGTGCTGCACTCGTTTTGCTCCCGTCGCCAGGGCCTCCGAGGAAGCCTCGCGCGGCAGCTCCATGGCAGAGCTGCCCTGGGTCCGTGCAGCGCCACCCAGGCTCCAAGCGTCGGGCCTTTGAACTTGGCCGTGCATCAACAAATCCAGGGCTCCCACGAGGGCGCGAAGTGAGTCGCGCTTCGCGCTTCGCGGTCCTCGTTCCTTCTCCCCCTCCTCGTCCTCCTTTTCTCCCTTTGGGGGGGCGGCGCGAGAGCGCGAAGTTATTCGCGCTTCGCGGAGCGCGACGCGCGAAGTTGGGAGCCCTAGACAAATGGACGTGCGTGGCGCTGAGGCGAGAAGTTGCTGCAAACTTCTACGATGAAATCGGGCTTGCCCCTCTACATGGGGGAATACTCAATCATCCCGGCAAAGCAACCTAACAGCGATGTGTAGAAGCATATCTGAAAGCATTCCCCTTAATATTCAGATGAAAATCCAGTTGTCGAATTCTGCTGTTCTCGCAGTCGTAGTCGCATTCGCGATGACAGTCGCAGCGGCAACGGCAGTCGCAGTCACAGCCTCAGCCTCAGCCTGCCTCAGCCTCAGCCTCAGCCTCAGCCTGCCTCAGCCTCAGCCTCAGCCTGCTTCAGCCTCAGCCTCAGTCTGCCTTCAGCCTCGGCCTCAGCCTCAGCCTGCCTCAGCCTCAGCCTGCATCAGCCTCAGCCTCAGCCTCAGCCTGCCTCAGCATCAGCCTGCTTTAGCCTCAGCCTCAGCCTGCCTCAGCCTCAGCCTCAGTCTGCTTCAGCCTCAGCCTCAGTCTGCCTTCAGCCTCGGCCTCAGCCTCAGCCTGCCTCAGCCTCAGCCTGCCTCGGCCGCAGCATCAGCCTGCCTCAGCATTCAAAATGTGGCCCAGGAATGGAGTTCTGGGAACTAGAAGAACACGAAGTGGCCTACAGTTGGCTCCGGGCATTCAAAATCATGCCCAGGAATGGAGTTCTGGGAACTTGAAGAGCACGAAGTGGCCTACAGTTGGCTCCGGGCATCCAAAATGTGGCCCGGGAATGGAGTTCTGGGAATCGAAGAGCACGAAGTGGCCTACAGTTGGCTCCGGGCATCCAAAATGTGGCCCGGGAATGGAGTTCTGGGAAGTCGAAGAGCACGAAGTGGCCTACAGTTGGCTCCGGGCATCCAAAATGTGGCCCGGGAATGGAGTTCTGGGAGCACCAAGAGCGATTTTGCGAGGATGTCCCAAGCGATTTCGGCTTCGACGGCAGCCTCCCCGGGTCCCGCCCAGACCCCCCTTTTCTCCCGACTTAATTCTACGACGAATGTGCGCGGCGCCAAGGCGAGAGCCACATTTTGAGCACCGCACGTGCTCCACCCTTGAAGCTGCTGCAAAGGCCGTACTGTCTGATGCGAACAACGCCCGGTCCGCCCCACCGACACTTCCACTTCCTTTGGGTGCGACAGGGAGGAGCTCTGAGGAGGAGGAGGAGGAGGAGGAGGAGGAGGAGGAGGAGGAGGAGGAGGACGAGGAGGAGCAGGAGCGGAGGGAGGCATGGATGGAGGGAGGAGGAGCACTCGGCTCGGTTGGGGGGGGGGCGCTGCGGACCCAGTCGAGCCGGGGCACTGAGACTTTCAGAGGCCAGATCACAGCTGCGGGAGGGGGACTCCGCTCTTGGGAGGGAGGCCCCTTTGGCAAACGACCGATCGGCTCCACTGCAGCACTCGAGGGTGTGGCAGGATAGGGCATGAGGTGGAGGTGGAGCAGGAGGCAAGAAGGACGATGAGACAGATGGAAGCGGCGGGAGGAAGGTTGGGGAGGGGGAGGGAGGAGGCAGGTGGAAGGAGGCACGAGGAAGGAGGACGGGAGGATGCGGGAGGACGGCGGAGGGAGGAAAGCCGGGGAAGGAGGGAGGATGCTGAGGAGGAGGGAGGAGAATGATGAGGTGGAGAAGGATGGAAGCAGGGTAGGAATCAGGAGGGGGAAGGAGCAGGTGGGTGCAGGGAGGAAGACGGATGCGAGAGGCAGGGAGGGAAAGGGAGGAGGGAGGAGGGTTGAGGGAGGAGGGTGAAGGGAAAATTGAGGAGTGCGGAGGGAGGCGGGAGGCGGGAGGCGCGAGGCTGGAGGAGGGAGGAGGGAGGAGGGAGGAGGGAGGAGGAAGTGAGGGCGGGGAGGGAGGAGGGAGGGGGGAGGGAGGGAGGAGGGAGGGAGGGATCTTGCAGGATTTTCCAGGTCAAACCTCCGAGGCTGCGGATCACACCGAATGGGGGCGAATAACGCTTCTCTCACCCCAGGCCGTTCCTGGGCGATAAAAGTTAGGCTTTAGTCTGAAAGTTCTCGCACGAGCCGGTCTCTGTATTGTAGCTGATCTTGCCTCATCCTACCCCCTGTGGCAACAGAGCTTGCTGCCGTTGCCTTGTCTCTCGCACGACCCGGTCCAGGCTCTATCGCTGAGAATCTGCCCTGCGTCCCCATGAGCTTTTGCACGCACGAGTTGCTCCCACCACCGTGGCGGAGATATATCTCGCACGAGCTCCCCCTAGTACCATTTTTACAGTGTGGCTCTGTACGTTCGCTCTCGGGCTCCAGCTTTGACTCCCGCTTCTCGCAAGTGGCTTCTGCTGGCCGTTCTCGCACGCTTTTGCTAGCGTTGTAGGTTATAGCATCGGGCACTAACTTCGCCTCCCGCTTCTCGCAGAATGTTGGTGGAGCCGCCTGCCACTCGCCCTGCGCACACGCCCTGACTCCAGCGCTGAAGCCGATGACATCGGGCTTGTGTTTCGCCGTCCACCTCTTCGTCGACTAGCGACGGGGTGTACTGCCACTGCTTGCCGTTTTCACCCACGCTGTACCCAGCGCTGAGGCCGACCAGCTCGGGCTCCAGTTTCGCACCCTGCTTCCGGCAGGGTGGGGCCAGAACCGCCTGCTGCTGCTCGCCGTTGACATCGTGTTCTGACTTCGCCCCTTGTTTCTCGCAGAATGGTGTAGTGCTATATTTGATGATGATATCAGGCTCCATTTTCGCCTGCCCCATTTCCAGAGTAGCGACAGAGCCAGACTCGCCTATTTCGGGCTCCAGCTTCGCCTCCCGCTTCTCGCATATGGTCGTCCGCTGTGTCCCGCGTCCCGCCCCGCAGCCACTGCCCTGGTCGCTTTTCCCGCATCCTCCAGCGGTGTAGCTGGTGGCGTCTGGCTCCAGTTTCGTCTTCCGGGGTTCACATTTCTCGCGCGCCCTGGCTCTCGCAGTGCAGCTCATGATGTTTACTATGTGCCTCCAGCTTGGCCTCCAATTCTGCGCAGAGGGCCTCGTTTTGCCAAGCTCGCACGACGCGAGGCCACCGCAGGAGGTGATGCCCGGATCCCAGCGCTGCAGCTGATGGCATCGGGCTCGTCATTCGCCGTCCATTCACTCTCGCTCACAGTGACTGCAACTGCTCGCCGTCGCCGCGCTGTAGCTGACGACGTCGGGCTCGTCCTTCGCATCCCCACTGCCGCCGCCCGCCTTCACGCACGCGCTGTACCCAGCGTCGGGCTCCAGACTCGTTCCCCGAATCGTCCGGCGCTCCGTCCGATGTTGCCACTCGTCGAATTCCTTGCAGAGTGTCCGCGCCGCCGTTGGCGTAAAGAAAACGCCCACCACGCATAATGGACAACGCTGCTATGTTCAGAACCCCCGTGCCCCCCAATTCCAATGTTGAGAACGAGGTTGCCTTGACGGTGAAGTTCTGGGCGTTTTTTTATGCCGCTGCTTGCACCCCGACAACGGCTGCGAACGCAACGTTGAAATGGGGGGGTCCGTGGGCGGCACCGTCGAAGCAACGTCTGTGGATGGGCGCTTTTTTATCCCAGCAGAGGTATCTCGCTGATGAGCATCAGGGCTCGCTGCCACTTCTCGCTCTGCTCGTGGGCGCTGCTGCCAGTGCTGTTGGCGTCGACCTTGGGCTCCAGCTTTGCTTCAAGTCGGGCGCGGCCGGCCCTTCTCTCGCGGAGGAGAGCCCGGTCGCGCCGCAGCGCCGCGCTCTTCTCGCACGTGCTGGGTTTGAGCGCTGCTGCTGACGACGTCGGGATTCGACCTCGCCTCCGATCTCTCGCCGCGTGAGGCCTTTCCCCTCCCCCGGGGAAGCAGGCCCCCCCCCCCCCGTGGAAGCAGGGAACGTCGGGCCACCTGCTCGTGTGCCCGCACTGCATTCGGCCCCTGCAGCGTAGCAGATGGAGTCGGGTCCTGGCCGTTGGAGCCTTCTATTCTCGATGGTGAGACGAGTCAGGCCGTGGCGACGTGTCCTGGCTTGCCTACAGGCCCACCAAAGAATGTGGTTTGCACGACATGTTCTTAGAGCATTTCTGGCTGACACTGTCTTGTTTTAATGCATCGGGCTTACGTTCTAAGAGCATGGGTTTGGTTCTTAGAACGTTCGTGGTGGGCCTATAGGAAAGCACGACCTAGTGAAGGCTTTTGAGCGGATCCTGCACGACCTCGTGGCTGCAGCCGCCGCGCGGTTGGAGTTCTACCTGGTGGTGCTGGGGCTGTAGGCTGTCCCTGGCGGCCTACTGGCTGGCGCGGGCCATCGGCGTTGAGGGCTTCTTCTCTTGCTTGCTCGTCGCCACTCGCGGCATCACGGCCGGCTCGGGGTTCGCCACGGTCGAGCTCTAGTTGCTGTTGCACGAGTCACGAGTCCACGCTCATTGCGAGGTTCCGCTGGCCTTTGCTGCAGTTCTTCTTGTTCGTGGACCACTTGACCATTACCGCGTCCGGCTTCTCCGAGGAGGCCCTCGCAGCAGTGTTTCGCGGCACGAAGTTCTTATGTTCGAGAAATGCTTCGGGTTGACGGTTTCGCGGACGCAGTTTTTTGCTGTCGCTTCGGGGCCCCGCCTCGCGATTCGGCTTTCTCTCATATCCAAGCGGCGTCTGTTGGTGACGAAGCGCAGCGTGAGTATGCTTGGCACTCCCTGCGCTGGCGGCCGCGCGCGGGCCGCGGGCTTCTTGAGGGGCCGCTTGAAGGATTTCAAAGCCAGCATCCCGAGGATATACGCTCTGAGGCGGCACCGCATCGACGTAACCAAGGTGTCACAAGCGATGGGCGGCCCCAGCATGCTGTATCGCTGGCGCGCCCAACACGCACCTGCATGCCGTCAGGGCCGCCGCTCTCCGCGCGGCATTGCCGCCGGGCGCAAGCCGGGACGTCGACGTCGGCTTCACGGTCATCGATGCCGCGGGCTCCTGCTCAGACCCCGCCCGCGCGGCGCATGCCGCCCCACTGCGCCACCGGGGCGTGGCTTCTTGGCAGGGCCGGGCACCTGCGGCGGAACTTGCTGCCGTCTTTGAGCTGTCGCGGGACCGCCTCGCCAGCGCTCTTGCCAGCGGCCGGTCGCCGCGGTCTGCCGCGGCCGGCCCCGTGGCGGGCGTCATCGCCTCGGCTTGGCGCCTCGGGTGGACGTGCGCTTCCCCGCGACGCTTCGCAGACGACCTCGGCGAGCCGGTCGACTTCCTCCTCTACGGGGCGCGAAAACGACCACAGCCACTGCTTTTCGTTTTTTGCCGCCTTCCAGCCCGCAGAAACAATGCAGTGGTTGTGGTCATTTTCGTTGAGCTTGGCACCAGGGAGTTGACCACAACCGCTGCTTCTTCTTCGACCGGCTGGAAGGCGGCGCAAACAAGAAGCAGTGGCTGTGGTAATTTTCCCTTCCCGCATCCTCGATGGTGGCGGCTGCCGTGCACCGATCCGTCGGCCGATGGCGCACGAAGCGGGTGCTCTCGGCATTCCCCGCCGTGGTCGCGGGCAAGCCAGACATGCCCACTGCCGAGGGCGCAGGCGCCGTCACCTTTGAAGTCGGCCGCCCCCTCGCTGCCCTCCTCTAGGGCGGGCGACCGCGCAGCACGGTGCCGCAGTGGTCGGGGCCATGTCGTTCTCAGCTCCTGTCCGCCGCCAAAGGGGCCAATGGCCCCTTGCCAAGCTGCGGAACGTTGATGACTCTGCCGGCCAGGCCTGCCAGCTCTGCGGTGTCACGCCCAGCAGTCATGCATCGCCGGGTTTGCGAGGCCTCGCTCCCGCCGGACAGGTGGCCAGAGCCGCCAGAGGCATGCCAGCACTTGTTGCCCGCGTTTCTGGAAGCCCGGCTGACGCTCCTTCGAACTCGCGGGCTTCTTGCTCTTCGGCTGCCACGCCCTCTGCTGCAAGAGAAGGCGGCCGTCCGCTGGTTCACGAAACCGCTGATCGCCACTCGCACCGACATGTGTTGGTACACGCACGGGTCCATGAAGTTTGGGCCTGCGTGGGAGCTCGGGCGCACTGGCTGCGCGCTCGTGGTCGTATCCGAGTGCGGGGACCTTTTGCCGTACGGATGCGCCGCGCCCTGGATCCGCACGGCGGCGGCAGCATAGTTCTGGGGCAGTCATGCTCGTGCTCGCCATAATCGTCACACCGCCTATCGTTCGTACCGACTGCCAGGCACTCCATGCAACTGCTGCTGCTGCTGCTGCTGCTGGGACGGCGCAGACCACGAAACCCGCCAGGATGCTGGCGACTTTAAGGGTAGCTCTTTGGGAGATGTTACAGTATCGGGAGCATAGCTCGCGCGCCGTTGCCTTTGGCCCAAGGCACGCGCGCCCTATTTGCCCGGACACCGCGAGTGTTCGCTATGTGCTGGAAAGATCATTACATCGATCTTATCCTATCTTATCCGTCCACCCCTCATACTGTACCTTCACAGCAGAGCGATGGACGCAATTTGCCAGGCTATATGCCATATTTGAGCTACCAGGCTCACTTTCGACTTGGTAGCGGAGCTGGCCGCACTCTCGTGTGGTCAGCTCTTGCTCTTCTTAGCCTCATATTCTTCGGCACGATCTTCGTGACTACCTACCACCCTGCGCCACCACTCCCAGTACGTTTACGAGGATCTATCCAAGAGCAAGAAGCAACACGAGAGGTACGACGTCAAGACGACCAGACTGGTACCATAGACGCTTCATCATTGCGTTACCACCAACCGCTCGGCAACGAGCTAACAACGCAACACTTGAAGCAGGAGCGGGGAGACCCGCCAGACAGAGCGCCTCGAAGACTCGACAAGGCGCCACCCCAGCGCAACAACGCGCATCATAACCGTCCTTCGTTACACATTCTCGGGCTAGTCGTTTTCGCTATTATATGGTTCGCGCTGGGGGCAGCAATCGGACACATGCGTCGTGGAGAAATCAGCACCGATGGGCAAACACATGGCCCATATTGGGACCCTCAAGGTAATGTACCTTTTCGTGAGTACATCTACGAGGTCAACGCATGGCTCAACGTTACAAGCGGACGTATGACGCCACAGGCCCAAGCGGCCGCAATACAACGCGGCCTAGGTGGCCTAGCGAGGACACTCGCCATGAGGGTACCGCCTGACATTATAAACTATGGTGCTGACATCGATGGGGTCCACACAGACCCAGTGACCTACATCATGTTCCTCTAAGCATGAAGTTCGAGCGCCTGGAAGATGAGCGACAGCTCACTTCCGGCACACAACTCATCGACTTCCACGTGCCTCACGGGGAACGAATCGATGTCACCCTTACCCGATTCGAAATGGCCCGACTTGAGGCACAATCGGTGGGATTCGACCTTCCCAACTTCCAACTGCTAACCACTATCCTATTCCGCGCCTTAGGCGTCGGCAACCAGCGAGCCATGCAACTCTTACAGCCACTCAATCACCAAATGCCCCGAACACAACAACAGTATGATGAGTTGCTGGAGAGGATGCGTTCGATAGGCCACCTATCCGAACGGTCTCCTGGTAACATAGGATCTGTGTTTGGAAGGGGAAGGGGATCTGGTAGTGGAAATTTCTACACTACCTTGACTACTGAAGCCCAGCCTGGAAACGGGCCCTCAAGCATATGGGCCGATGACCCAGGTGAATCCACTGCGTTATTAGCAGGGGATCGATCACAACCAAGCTGGGCAACCAGCCCTCCTTCTAGAGAACCACAACCACACCGTTCTTTATGGGGGGAATCAAACCCCCTAACCGACGGTGTATCCACCTACTTGGGAGACGAGGATTTCGACTCCGGCACCGATACAGACACTATATCATCAGATGGTGTTGAAGCTTTAGATTGGTCAGATATTATGAATATGGATAACGACAATCAGCGTGCTGAACATTTGTTCTGGTTATTACAACAGGCTAAACGAAGGTGGAGGAGGTTCACACGAAAACCAGTGCGTCGTGTTAGAAGGAGGATACGTAGAAGTTTTAAAGGAAAGGGTAAAGGCAAGCGAGGTCGTCGGAGGTTGAACGGACGAGGTATCGCGGCATTTCTCCAGAGGCTCTCAGATGAACAACATGATGAGATACTCTTTGGGGGAAAAGGCCGTGGTAAGGGCCGTAGAGGGACCTCAGGAAAAGGCAAAGGAAGGCGGGGGAACCCGCGAGGTAGAGACGGCCAGGTTCTCAAATGCCATGAATGTGGTAGTTCCGATCATCTTGTGCGAGATTGTCCAGTGAAGGGAAATGGAAAGGGCAGGTCGACCGAAGTCCATGTTGGCTCAAGTGAACCATCCATTGAGTATCTGAGCCTCCAGGACTTTGAGGCTATGGAGCAGATATTTTTCACTTGGGTTGTTGGCGTGGACAACGTCGACGAGCTCGAGGGGTATGGTCATGGATTGTACGCGCACTACCTCGAGTACGTCCGCCGGTTCGTTACGGGCAGTAACGAGCTCACTCCCGTGGAACGCGGCACGCTGGGAAACCAGCCTCTTTCTTTCTTCGACTGGATGTTCGGGAACCCAGGCAACATCATGGCCTACGAGAGTGACGACGAGGACACCACTATAGAGGCTTCGCCTTCCGAGGTTCAACGGAACCTCGAACCTCCGCCTGAAATCCCGCTTGGAAACAGGCCGTCTTTGATGGGGGAATATCCCCAGACCACTGAAGACTTAATTGAAATGGAGTCTCAGGCATTTGTTCAGGCCTTCATTGCAGGCGAACCAGATACTCCGTTCATACCTCCTGGTTCGCTTGCTCCAGGCGAATATGGACCGCGCACCCTTTTACAGACCCTCTCGAGGATGCATGAGATACTTGTTACTGGCTATCCTGAGAGTCAAGAACATATCGAAGCTGACATTATGACAGAACAGGATACTGATGCTTGCGGTAGCTCAGAGCTGTTGTTGGCAGCTCTGACTCTCATTGACAGCGTGCATCCTCAGGACGTGCAGAGACACTTGATATACTCCCGTGGTAGATGGCGTAATGCTCTAGAAATGGCTATTGCTATGCGCGGTCATGATCTTCCTCCGCCAGGATGGGGTCTCCAGGCGGTGGGAATGAGGCCAAACCATACGGCCATGCGCAACATTGCTGGGCCGCCTGGGCTCGGCAACGAGCCTGAGCCGACAACAGTGCCTCCTACGCCGGGGCAGCCGAGCGATGCACAGACGCCGGCTATGCAGGGAAACCTGCCTGTATCAGATACGCCAATGGCCATCATCATTGGTAGTTCGACATCAGAAGAAGTAGAAGGCGATGGTTGCGGGTTAGATGAGGATGACGTCACCATCCTCATGATGGACGTGAATGGTGAGGAAGAGGTTGACTTCGATCCTGATGAGTCTGAATCATCATCACCATCGGCACAAGCGCCATTTGCGCCGAGCTCCACCCAGCAGGGAGACCTGCCTCCATCGGACGATCCATCTGGGATCGCACAGGAGCCTCCTCAGGCACCTCCACCGGGTGCCGCTCCTGCTGCTTCGGCAGCTTCTTCTGATGAGAGCACCAGAAGGTCTCGTTCCCATACGCGCGTCAAAGAAGAGCCACATCCACAGGCTCGACTTCTTCGTGAGTGGAGGCAGGCTGGCCCAAAAGAACACGCTCTTAGGAGAGGTGGCCAGCTACTTCCGTACAACGACCCAAGACGCCGAAAAGGGGAACACTCGGCCTTCGGCAAGGGCAACCCTGCCTATAGGGACAGTGATGGCAAGGCCATTCGCGGAGGCTATCAGCTTGCAACAAATATCCGCCGCCCTGAAATTCAAGAAGCGCGGACTCAGTTGCGAGATATTATCGCGGCGCGCAAGCAGTATAGACCTCACGCAGCATGCGGACCTTGTTCCCAGCCGTTCCGGAACCACAGGCCAGGATGCCCCGTTGGCAACAACGAAGGCCTGAGCCCCAACAGGGACAAAACCCCTCATAAAGAGGGCCATCCGCAACTTATCCCGATGACACAGGAAGAAATTGCAGAAGTGAATCGTCGTCTCGGGATCTTGAGCCACTTGGATCCGAAAGAAGAAGAAAAGCCTACCCCGGTTCCAAGGGGATTGGTAGCCATGACCCAGGAAGAGAAAGACGCGCTCTTCAGTCTTCCTAGTATGCGAGGAAACTCGCCTGGCGTCTCTAGCCAGTCCCAACAACCAGAACCGACAATCCAGGATGAGATAAAGGCTCAACGTGTGGCGGAGGATGAGGAGCGTATGCGGACAGCAGAAGACCGCACTCGCGAGGCAACTCGCAAGATGTTGGAGGATTCTAGTAAGATCTACATGAAGAGGGCTACGAGGCCCCCACTCCCACTAACTTCGAAGGCCAAGAGTGAACCCCCGACACCTAAGACGTCCTCGGTGCCGAAACCGAAGACGAGCCCTCAGGACCCTGGGCCAGACGTGCAGATGGAGGTGCCTCGAACTGAAACTCCGAGGCCGCCGATTGGCGCAACTCCTACACAAGCGTCTGTGCCCAAGCAGCAACCTCAGGACCCTATGGAGGAACGAAGACGCCCGCCTAGTCGCAGCAGTTCCATTGCGAA